ATCTCCCCACAGCAGGACAGGCACCGCTACGCCTGCCGAGTGGAGCACAGCAGCCTGGGGGAGCCCGTGCTCGTCTGGGGTAAGGGGGGGTGAATGGCAGGGCCCAGGGGTTGGGGGCACAGCCCCATGGGAGTTACAGAGATGGGGTGAGGCTGGGCCACAGGAAGGTCAATATCCCTGCCCATCATCAGAGCGAACTTGTCTAGCTCTGGGTGTTCATGTGACCCACAGAAATGGCCGATCCCTCAGAGAATCTGATTTTCTGGCTGTGGTGGCATCCAGTGACAGTGAGTTCCACAGGCTGATGTCGTTACGAGGGAAGGGCCTGGTTGCTGTGTGGCGTGTGTGTCTGGCAGTGCCCGGCAGAGCACCCACGCTCTGTGCCCCGTCCCCGTCCCCGTCGTGGCTCAGCCTTTCCCCTCCCCTGGGGCCAGGTCTCTGCAGAGGCTCTCGGGGAGACGTTCAAGGCAAAGGCCTGTGGCTGCCCCAGGAGGATGCCCCAGCGGCTGCTCCCCTCGGTGACCTGGGCCCTTCTCCATCCCACAGCCCCTGGGAAGAAGGGCCCCCTGCACCCCGGGGTCCTGGCCGCCATCGTCCTGGCTGTGCTGGTTCTGGCTGGTGGAGCCGTAGGGGCCGGCGTCATCCTGTGGAGGAGAAAATCAGCAGGTAACAGCCGGTCCCCGTGGAGCCAGGATGTGGGGTGGTCTGGGGAGTGGGGCGGTCCAGCCAGCCCAAGGGGGAATGGCTCCTAGCACTGCCCCCCAAGGAGAGATGGGGCAGGGTCGATCACCGTAGCCTGGCCCCGCTGGGGGCAGAGTGGGCTCTGTCATTGGCTGGGTGCTGTGTGACCTGGGCTAGATGCAGTCGGGGTCATGGGGAGCCTTATGTCCAGGGGAGGGGGGTCGGGGTCTCCATGGGGAAGGGGTTACCCTGCTTCCCTGCACTGACCCTCATTCTCTGCTTGTGTTTCAGGCCCCTACACTCTGGCAGCCAGTGAGTAAATCCTGGGTACGGGGCCCAGATGCCCCAGTGCATTATGGGTGCGGGGGGGGTCCCCGTGAAAGGAGGAGGGAGCCCAGCATTGACTGGAGAGGGGCCCTGATCGCAGGTTACTCTGGGTCTGACAATTCCTCGGTCTGTGGGAATCTGTGAGGCCGTCCCCAGCCGTCGCCCTTCCCCGACTCCCCCGAATTCTGTGACAGACGCGCTGCCTTCGCCCAAACCCAGGGAACCCCAAAGGGCCGGAACAGCATCCAAAGGCCACCCTTGAGAGCACAGCTCATCCAGCATCCCAGCATGCACTGGGGCCCCTTAGCGTGGCTCTGGGGACGGGAGTGCAGGCTGGTACCTGGAGCTGCGTAGGGGTGTTACGCTCTCTCCTGGAGGCCTGTCCATTGTCCCACTGTCAGGACTGGGGGGTTTCTGTGCAGAGCACAGTTTGGGGTCCAGAGGTGACACTGTGGGGGGAAGCCCAGAGCTGAATTCCCATCCCCCTTCCCTAGCTGGGATCCCCCACAGCTAAAGCCGCCTCGGAACGATTTTCTTCTCTCTCCACAGCATAGATCAGAGAAGATTCTGCCTCCAGCTCGTCATGGGGCAGACACCCGGAGCGTGGGACCCCGGCGTTGGGGGGACCCTGCCCAGCCATTGACCCTGCTGTCTCAGTGATCTCTGTCCACTGACTCCCTTCTGCTCTGGGGCGATTCTGGCGTGGCTGTTAGAGCAGGTTCCTCCTGTGGTGTTGGGTCTTAGGCTGTTGTATTGCAGGGTTTGCGTCTCTCCTGCAGCGTGTTCATTCCAAGTCACTGATCACTGGGCCCTTCTCCAGCCAGGGCTCTGCTCAGCTTCCCTCCATAGAGTCTGACACAATCCCGTCTCCCGTCTCGCCAGTGCCAGTCACGGGGCAGTTCCCCTTTTCCAGTCGCAGGAGCCGGCACAGAGTCAGACGAGCAGGCAGAGCTGGGGCAAGTGGGGCACTGTGGGATCCCACTCCCCTCCGTGGGGCAGATGGGCCGGCCTGGCAAACCGACCCCCAGCTTGTGACCGGCAGCAGGACGCGTCTCTGTGCTCTGAGTTCAGCTCGGGGCTTTCGCCCGGATTCTGTGGGTCAAACTCACCCCCCCACCCAAGCTGCTCAGAGCAGAGCCACTGAGTCTCCCAGTGTCAGAGCCGGCTCTGAGCCCGTGTGTGTGCAGCAGGACCCGCTGACGGACGTGGACCTGTCCCCCGCTGGCACGACTGAGGGAATGGCCCACGGGGGCTCTCCTCTGATTTCTGCTCCAACGCTGCATTTCTTCAGTGATTTACATATTGGTGCTGGCCCAGGCCGGTATTGTGCTGGTGCTGCCAAATCACAGACCAAGGAGAGGGGCCCTGCCCCACGGGGATCACAATCGACTGTGGTTTCTATCTCCTCTGTCCTCTCCGGGCTTTGTCTGGTCAGTAAAAGAGCCGCGGTGCGGGAATGCCGTGCAAAGTGTCTGTGTGTATCCGCCTCACAGCCACCATGTGCCCACGCCTGGGGGGTTCTGGGAGAGGGGATAAATGACTGGGGTGTGTTGGGGGGTCAGCGCTGATCCTGGGGGCTTCTGGCCTTTCCCCTGGGGAGGGGATTCCCAGCTCACAGACCCCCCAACCTGGGGCTCCCTTTGTTAATTTCATCTCACCCTTCACAGAGCCCAAGAGGAAAGTTGAACTGTAATTAAGGCACCAGACTGCGACCCCGAAGCCCTGGGCTCAGTTTTCAGCCCTGTTGCAGCCACTCCAGTGTGACCTGGGGCCTGGTCTCCCACGCTGGGTCAGACCCATTGGCCTGTCTAACCCTGTGTCCCTGGCCTCCCTGTGTCAGACCCATAAACCCGTCGGGCCTGGTCTCCCCCTACCCTGCTGCCCCACAGCCGCCAGCTGAATTTACACCAGGGATAAATTGTGTCCATGGACAGCAGGGTGGGGATAAAGCTGTGTGCACCTGAAGGTCCAGTTCTCAGCAGAACGAGGACAACTCTGGCTCTCTTTGGGACGTGCCATTGTACAGTTGGGTCCCCTTTGGGGGCTTCAGGGTTCCAGGGTTCTAACCCCACTCCAGGGTGTGTGGGGCTTAGTGGGTTAAAGCGGGGGGGCTGTGGTATTTCTCCAACCCCCCCTCAACTTAACTTCCAAAAGGGGAATGACACAAACACGAGGAACCTAGAAGACTTGTTCTACCAGGACCTTGGCTGTGGCTTTTGCAATATTGGCTTTCAGGGGAAAGACCTCCACCCATTTTGAGAAAAGATCAACAATCACCAAGAGGTACTGGTTGCCTCTTTGGGTCCTCAGTGAAGGGCCTATGAAATCAATCTGCAAAGCCATCCATGGTCCTTCATACACCTGAGATTGCAACCGGTGCATTCCTTTTGGATGGGGTTGGGTTGGGCACAAGCCAAACAATTGTCACAGCACTGTTGTACATCCAATCTAAGGAGCGGCCACCATCCCACAGTTAAGAGACGTTGGATTGTTTTGTCCACCCCTTGATATCCCTCTGTTGGAGTGTCATGGACCATGTTTATCATCTCCCTTCTCCAGGGAGTTGGGGTCCCCCACACGGAGAAGGACCCTCCTGTGTCCATGAGGATTCCATCCACCACCTATAAAGACTGCCTATATCTCCCCAAAAAGGGTTTAATGCGGG